GGTCTTTTTTTTTTTTTAGTTTTTTTCTTTTCAAACGGGCCGGATCCGGCCCGCGGGCCGTAGTTTGCCCACGGCTGTTCTATACTCTCCGATCTTCAGTATAATTTCTGAATCCTATTTGCTTCATAAAAGGATTGTGTAGGATATCCTTAGTTGTCTTGGGAAAATGCCTGGATTTAATGCCCACCATAAGAACCTTGATAATGAAATACCTAGAAGCAGGTGGCCTGTCATTAAGTAGGCTGGACATTATAGGTCAATCAGGGTTGACAGTCTAAATACTTGGCTGAACTTTCTGACCCATCCAGATTCTAATGGCCAGACTGTGAGGGGACAAGTTAAAAATGGTTAGTTTGAGCAGGAATAGTTGTCATAATTAGACAGGGATGGAAAGACTGGTACTTCCCAGCCTTGGTTTGGAAGCTTGTCTTCAAATACATTTTAAATCATTTCAATGTAGAAAATAGGTAAGCATTTTGAGTGACCTCAAATCAAACTAACAGTGATGGCCTGTCAGATTCCCAAAGCCCAATTATAAGCCACTTATATAAGGACAAAGAGGTTTGGTAACTAAATTGGACAATTTGTCATCTTTAAGCCTTATATACAGATACCCTTGCTTTGGGGCCACGTGTGTCCATTCATTTTGGGGGAGAGAAACCACTAATTTTTTTTCTGTATGGTGAAAATTTGTCATGGTGAACTGAAATGGTAAAATTATAGTTCATACTGCAGATCTAGGTTGACCTAAAACAAACAAACCAGCAAATTCCCTCACATGTTGAGAGTTAAAATGTGGTTTTCAGTTAGAATTCCAATTTTAAAAACTCTCAATGCTTTGTCTAATTAATTATATGCCACAACTTGTCATGACAGCTGCTCCAATTGAATTATGATTTCGCTGGTTAGAAGTGAAGTATTTCCCCAAAACATATTGAAATAAGATCTTCAAACATATTTAGACTTTCTTCATTACTGGAGACAGTGCAGTTTAGAGATTGGCATCTCCCTGTTAAGCCCTGCAACTGCTTTATGCCTCAATTTCCTTATCTACCAAATTTGGATGATATACTTGCCCAGCCTACCTCACAAGGTTGTTGAAAAGATCAAATTAGTTATAGATGTGAAAATGATTTGAAAATATTTTTAAAGTGCCATGTATATTGAAGGAGTTTTATTATAGTTATTCAAATCCATAAACAGGTTATTATTGTTTTTTTACTGTTAGAAAAGAAACAACATCATCCACATGAGTGTCTCTAGTAAATATGTTGGCATTTGGCCTTATGGAAGGGCAAGTGTAAATTGCCTTTACTTTTGGAGAAAACTCAGCCCTTGCCCATCTCTTACCATTAGTTACTTACAAAAATTCTCACACAGTTCTTGGAGTGAAAAGGCCCACTGCAACCTGAGAAATTGTTTTTGATGGCAGATGAGTATCATTTTTGTATCTTATCATCTTTCATAAGGGACATGATAGTCTCTTTTGGTAATTTACAACTTGAGTGCTTGAGATCCTGCTCCACTTTAACTGAATGTGGGTTTAATCTTTTCAGCCTTGTAAATGGGAAAATGCTGCATTTCCTTGGAAACCACCTTGGAAAATTAGTGCTAATGTTATGTGTGAATGTGTCAGTACTTCTCAGCCAGTAAATTGTGAATGTGAGTTTTATAGGCTGCTTCTCTGCAGCCATTGATTCTAATAAATGTTGTTTATGTTTCTTCATTTAATAAATTACTTTTGCAATTTCCCCTTTCTTTTCATTCCTTATTTAGTCCTTTTATGGCTTTTTTACTTCAGGGAATGTTTTAAAAACAGGATTTTGAAAATGATTTTGTTGTGATTAATTATAGTTTTGTAACCTAACCTGGAAATTCTTTCTGTAGGATGAGAAACTTGAGTGTTCTAGGATTCTGTCTTGTGAGACTAACAGTTCAGGTAATCTCCTCTGATTGTTTTTTTATAAGCATTTACTCTGTTTGTTAAAGCTGCATTGCTGTTTCCTAAGATTCGGCTCAGCTATCTGTCGATTGCTGGGTGTGACACAAAAGAAGTAAGGTAATAGAAATCTCTTCTAGACAAATATAAATAGTGTACTGATTCAGAAATATAAAATACCAAAGGAGTGACTTGATATTAACATAAACAAATAATCAAATGTAAGTGATGACCTATGGTTGGAAAAATCGTCAGTTATGAGACAAACATGGATTATTTCAATAATTCCTTTTCTTCTAAAGGTGGCCTTACAATTTAAAAAGACTTAACTATAGGATGCATCTTTTAAAAGAGATCTCTTGGTGTTAAATCAATCCTTGGAGAAAACTGAATGTCTACAAGTATAGTGTTAAGTATATTAACCTAAAATTACTTCATTCAGTGTTTGTAAATGTTTTATTTTGAAATAATTTCAAGGTAATTAATAGAAGATCATAAAAATAGTTTCAGGAGCCCCGGCCAGTGTGACTCAGTTGGTTGAGTGTCATCCATGCACCAAGAGGTCGATGGTCAGGGCACATGCCTGGGTTGCAGGTTTGATCCCCGGTAGGGGGAATGCAGGAGGCAGGTGAATGTTGTTTCTCTCTCACATAGTTGTTTCTCTCTCTCTCCTCCCATCTTCTCTCTCTAAAATCAATACAAACATATTTAAAACATAATAGTACAAGAAATTCCTTTGTATCCTTCACCCAGATTCACCTATTAACATTTTGCCAAGGTTGCTTTATCATTCTCTTTCTTTCACCCCTCTTTTCCTAAATACTTTGGTGTGTATTTCTAAAGAACAAAGGCATTCTCTTACATAGCCACAACACAGTGACCAAATTCAGGAAATTTAACATAGATACAATACTAGTATCTAATCTTGAGTCCTTATTTCACTTAACAATTGTTCCTATCACTTCATTTGTTGTCACAAAGCTTCTTCAGCAATGTAAACCCACTCAGTTCTCTTCTATGGGTTCTTTTTGTTTAAACTTATCAGTAAGTTTTAACTTGCCTATGAACACTGGGAAAACTACAGCAGACTTTGAAAAGCTATTTGAAGAGAACATATGTTATCACTATTGACTAATATGTTAAAACCATGAATTTGGAATGGTTACTGGTGAACTGTGAGTAATTCTTTTTCATGGATATCTATTTTAGGCATCAAGTGTTTGCTTCTTAGTATGTGAGCCTGTAGTTCTGTCACCATCCTTGCCCCACTGTTTGACAAAGTTTGGTCCCAAGTTTGTAAAAATTAGGAAGGAGATAAGGGAAGTATATATTATCCCTCTACGGGCACATTTCTCCAGGTTCTGCCTTCTGGGAGACTATATTCTCTATCAACATCTTTACAAATGGAGAAGAGCTCAGAATTGTCAACTATATACTGTAATTAAATGAGTAACATTGTGAATCTTTTCTCTCTCTCTTTTTTTCAGAAAAAAGGCACTTTATAGAAGCATAGATTTGTACAGAGCTGGGAATTCAGAAACACCTCAATCCCACCTTTCCCAGCACATAACATATCCTGTCAGGCTAGACCCCCTAACCTGCTAAGGTGTGTCTGCCTCAGAAGCCTGCTTGAGGGAATTTCTCACTCCTTCTTGTCACCCTGTATGCATGGTTGTTTCTCTGAAAATTATTAGGCCAAGAAGGTCTAAAACAGTGTTGGTTTAAGCCGGTTTTGTATCCCAGAGAAGTATGCAGCTGCATCTCTTTGTCGCAGATTATCAGGAAATTTCCTACCTAGAGTCTACTGCAGCATACACTTTCATGTGAGGGGGTTTCAGGGTTTGCCCCCTACCAAGGAGAGATTCATTCAGAAAGATTTTTGAAATTCTGCCTGTGCTTCTCTCTCTCTTTCTCTCTCTCCTCATCTCCCATTCTGAATTAATTCTCTCTCTCTCTCTGAATGTTGAGTTCCTGATTAAAGCCTGATTAGTATGCTTCCTAGAGCCCTGGGAATATCATCCTCCTTAGACATCTGTATTATACATACTGGTTTAATGTCTTATCAGTCAGCTTCCTATTTTAATTACCTAAACTCTATGGTTAATAAGTCAGGTTTTCAGGGTGAGCAATAGCACCCTAGAAAAAAAAACAGAATTTAGAAATTCCATTCTGGGGTGGTACTGTAAGACCATTCCCCCACCACCCAGTGAAGAAGAGAATGGTTTTCTGTTGACCTCCTTAAGTTGAGTGGCAAAATCTTTTAAGAACAACGGTGGCCAGCTGTATGGCTGCAGAGCTCCAAGAATTGGAAAGTTATCACTCACTCCTCTCCACTAACTAGAAATGTTTGCACACTAACCAGAGATGTCTGGCATACACTCTATAATTATTTTTAAACTCATGGGGATGCTATTGTGAGTGATAGAAAGGACTGATTTAAATTGTCACTATATTTAAATTAACTTTGTCATTAACCCCCCAACCCCTACCATGTACGATTGTTAAAATCCAAGCACTATTATGTAGGAAAGGACCTTAAAAGACCTCCTTTGTCTTTGGAAATGTTTGGAACTGCTACCCTGGAAGGTTTTTTTTTCTCTGCTGGAATGTTTTATCATGTGTGCTCATAGTATACTAGTACACTTTCCCTTTTTTTAAAAAAATATATTTTGTTGATTTTTTACAGAGAGGAAGGGAGAGTTAGAAACATCGATGAGAGAGAAACATCAATCAGCCGCCTCTTGCACACCCCCTACTGGGGATGTGCCCGCAACCAAGGTACATGCCCTTGACCAGAATCGAA